CCCAAACCCCGCCGAGCTCGCCGTCGGCGGCCTCGAGTGCGCCGTCGAGGGGCTTTCTAAGTGAATTAAATCTGGAGTCTCGGGAAAAGTCCGTCGTCGACGCCGTTGGGCTCACCGTCGACGCCCTAGTTCAAATCTTCACATTTTGGTCATGTTCGCTCCAAATTCGCTCCTTTTTGTATTTTTTTGCTTCAATCACCCTAATTCATCGTTCCTGCAACAAAACATCAAAAATATCTTTCTTTAAAGTGCAATATCATCAAAAACAGTATAAAATATGTATGAAAATCTCAACATATTTTCATTTGGTCACATGTATATGCACTTCACACGAATGCATGCCCTAAACAATAAACAATCAACTGATATAGTTGAAAAAAACTTCGGCAAAAGATGTGTTATCATTTTAAAAAACAAAAGGAAATAAGCATAGTATTTTTCACACTTATCCATTAAGAAAAAAAACTGACCTAAAGGCAATAGTTGAATCACAACACAAAGGATTATAACAGTATGAATCACCTCACAAATGAACAATAATCGAACTATGTTTCACAACAAAACCCATTTATAAGTAACGAAGCAAGAATAGCAAGCAACGAAGCCAAACAAGCAACCAAAAAAAAATACCGAGCAATTGACTATTTGAGGAAAAATAAAAGAAGCTATTAGAAGATGAACACAAACGGGCAGCGACAACTCTTGCGGTTGAAACCCTAACTTGAGAGGAGAAGGAAACGACTTGGGAGTCGGGAGATGAAGATAGCCGAAATGCTGAAAAGGAACTTTCGAAAGTCTCGGACAAGGGGCATAAGGTTTTTCAAGCAAAAGTTTATATATATTATATTCTATTATTTATATAATTTATATTATATGAATATAATAATAAAATAAGTAATATTAATATATTATTATTATTAATTTGTTATATATTATAATTTATAAGACTTAATTTTTAAAATCTAATAATTGATTGTTAATGAATTATAATTTATAATATTTAATTTTAGGAATATTTATTATCTATATTTATTTATTTATTTTTGAGTTAATTCAACCGAACACGAACGAACAAATATTAGTTCATGTTCGGCTCATTTAAATTTTGAGCTTAAAAATTTGTTCATGTTCGGCTTGTTCGGTTCATTAGACTTAGCGACGAGTCGCACACGAGTTGCTTAATGAGTCGAATATGAGTTGTTTGCGAGCAATAAGCCAAATTGACAGCCCTAGTCACCTCTGAGATCTGATAGAGGAGCTCATCCGCATCAGAAAGCTCAAAGAGTTTGCCGCAGTCGGAGCGCAAACGCAGCGGCAGGGTAAAGCTCCAGTAGGAGAACCCATAAACCGGCCTTTCCAGGAGAAAGAGGTTCATGTAGCACAGATAATTCCGAACATCTTTGGGGGAGGACCTTGACCCTCCGACTTGAAAAGACAATATTCGGGAGTGGTATTTTATGTCGTCATGTATACACGTAACCATTTACCAATCATCTTTACAGATGCAAATCTCCCACCAAAGGGAACCTCTATCGTTGTCACGACACTAATCAACAACTTCCAAGTGGGTAGTATTCTTGTTGATACAGGAAGTTTAGTCAATATCCTGTTCAAAACGATGTTCGATAAGATCGGTATGAAAACCGATCGGTTGAGAGCGTCGGTTGACCTATTGTTCGGATTCTCCGGGTAAATGAAGGCGACGTTGGGCCTCATCCCCCTAGCCATTTCTTTAGGGGAAACAGGGAAGCAATACAACAGTACGGAGAATTTTCTCGTTGTGGAATCTCTACGGACCTACAACACTATCTTTGGACGGCCACTACGGAATAGCTACCGGGCGGTGATTTTCACCTACCACATGGCCGTAGAAGTTCAAGGTGACGAGGAGGTGATCCCCGTCTGAGGGAACTTGGAGCGTTCTAGAAGCTACTATTTGCAAGAAATCTCGAACTTTGAGCACGGACGACTAGATATCTGATCCAAAAGGAGGGGGTCTTGAAGCCATAAGGGTCCTCCTCCAAGTACCTCAGTCCTACGAAGAACCCAGTAAGATCTTTCGAAGCAGCTAACTTTTCGATGCAAAACTCGGGAACCAGCTGATATGGATGCTTCGGAAGCACCGGAAAGTGTTCGTTTGGACCAACGCGAAGATGTTCGGTGCTTCAAACGACGCAGCGTGCCACCTGCTAACATCAACCCCTACTCTTGGCCGGTCCAACAAAAAATTTGGCTGATCGCCAGAACTATGGCCAAACCGATAGCGGCAGACGTGCAGAAACTGCTAGACGTCAGCTACATCCGTGAAGTCCAATACCCAAGTTGGCTCTCAAACATCATGATGGTCAAGAAAGTCAACGACAAGCGGCGGATGTGCGTCAAATTCACCAACCTCAACGCCGTCTATCCGAATGATACCTACCCCCTGTCAAAGATCGACACATCAATGGATGCAGCGGTTGGATACTCGGTATTGAGTTTCCTTGATGCTGACTCCAGCTACCACCAAATAAAAATGCACCCGACCAACGTGAAAAAAACGACATTTATTATTGCATAAGACATATTTAGTTTTAATGTAATGCTCTTCGAGCTTAAGAACATCGGGGTGACCTATCAGCATCTCATATATGTAATTTTTTCTTATTAAAAAGGAAATAATGTTGAGGTGCATGTTAACAATGTTATAGTTAATAGTAAGACAATCGAACAACACATCGAAGATCTGAAAGAGACCTTTGAAACACTTAAGAAATTCAATATGAGATTGAACCCCTCCAAGTGCATCTTCGGGGCCTTGACCGGCAGGTTCCTTTGCTTCCTGTTAACTCCTGAAGGATTAAAAGCCCACCCAAAGAAAGTACAGGCGATCCTAGACATGTCGTCCCCATGGAGTACCAAAGAAGTCCAGAGACTAGTCGGTAGAATTGTCTGGCTCAGTTGTTTCATCCTGAAGTCAGGCAACAAATGTGCAGCATTCTTTAAAATGCCAATTAAAAGTTAAAGTTTCGAATGGATGAACGAATGTGAGGAGCTGTTCAAAAACTTGAAAAGTTCCTCGTTGTCACCCCCACTGCTCCAGAGCCCGAAGCCGACAAAAGAGTTGTCACTATACCTCGGAGTCGGACGAGAGGCTATAAGCTCAGTTCTGATCCGAGAAGAGGCGGAAAAACAATATCCAGTCTACAACACGCCTCCAGATGTGATCGAGCGGCGAGCTCGAGAAGTTTCTCATAAGAGAGCCCCTTGAGCACCGCCTGAAACGCCGAAGACCAAGTTATTTACGCCAAAAGAGGCGGCATACGCTAGGTGTCAGCAGACAGGGAATGCTAATCTTTCAAAACATCCAACAAGTTAAAACATTCATCACCACTCATCCATAACCATCCTTTACCCCTTCCCTTCCATCACTCGGTCCACCATCCTTTATGCAGTCTATTGAGGAGCCGACATTAGACTCCCTTCCAGCATCTCTTGGATGTTCTACAGATCGACCGGTAAGGCCCTCAGCTTACTGCCCGCATCCTACAGCAGGCGAGTGACGATCTCCCAATTGCCGAAAGTAGAGCCAACCAAGAACTTTTTCACCAGTCCTTGACCTTATTTTCACCAATCGATTACCCTCTGTTGGCGATCGGTTAATCGACACAATCGATCGCTCGTAGGTTGACAACTATAAAACTCACAAGTCATTATAAATTGTTATTTTTGTCAACAATATGACAACCATTAATTTAAATTATACGCATTGATTCTATTTAGGGTTGTCATAACGGTTCTCACCTCCCTTGTTTGTACTAATAAGATCTCTTTAAGTAGGCTTTCCCAAATAAAATAAAAACAGTCTCTCCTCACATTCGGAGTGGATTTTCATGTGTTCTTACTCTCTCTCTCCCCCTCATCCTCTCCCTCTCCCTCTCCCTCTCCCTCTCCCTCTCCGCCTCTTTTAATTCCGCTTCTCAGAGCGTGTATGCAAAATGGCAAGTTAGGATCCAACCAAACCTCATTAATTTGTCAGACAAACAATTGACTTTGATGAGGAATTTTCAAAAAGATCTTACGTGACCCGAGGAACAGCCATATGTCCCTAAAAATCCAAGCATAATGATGACATGCACCTACAAATATAGAGAGTAGCCTGGGTGTTAATTGTAAAACGGGTCCTCCTATTTTCTTCTTGGATCTGAGCCCTATTAGCTCAAATCTAGTTCATCTCTGCAATAACTCTCTCTCTCTCCGTGTTGCGCTCTATTGGTTGGATAGTTGGATGTGACACAAGAGAACGGGAGGGGAGAGAAGGGTAATAGAATGAGTTAATTAAATATTTATTGCAACTCGACCGCTATTAAAAAAACAATATTCACGTATAGTGACATAAGCAGCAGAATCCTCATTGGAGACTACCAGTGATTTAAAAAAGGAAAGAATTTTGTATCCAATAATCTGTTGCAGAGACTCCAAAGCCTCGTTACAAGAAAGAAAGGAATTTGTCGATCGCACAATCAGTTGCAGAAACCCCAAACATAAACATCCATTGCGTTAAGAGCGTAGACTTTGTTTTTAATTTCAGAGCAGAAGCACAAGCACGTGCACTGTGTCGAACGCCAAACACCCTAGCGGTGACAGTTGGGGCCAAAACCACAAACAATCAAATATCAGCTTAGCCTTTTAACGAAACAGATTGGCAAACTGAAAAATACACACGAACCCTTACAAAAAGTTGGCCCCAATTCCTTCTCAGTTCCAACCAAAGCCTAGTAATCCACACTACATCAACTCAGTTTCACAATCAAAACAAAATTAATTAACTGAAGCGTAACTAACCAGTACTTGACGACCTTGCAACTTGCGCAACGGGTGGTAGTGGGTCTATGACAAACGGCACAGTTCGACATCCCAGTTCCCCCTCCGATCACAACCAAGGCTGGCACGTCCGACGCAGAGGGAAATGCAGCATCCTCCCTCTCGGCCCTCTCTGCCTCGGCAGTTGCGAGCCTCATAAGGCGAATGTTCTCCGCCCGCCTTGCCTCCGCGAGCCTCCATTTCCAACGAACCACCAGCGCGAGCGCCGGGAACAAGACAAAGCAGACCAGGAGCACCACACCGCCCCAACCACGATCCCACCGGTAGGGCATCTACTCTCTGTCCGTTGCCACCGCACCGTCGTCGCCGCCAGATATCTCCTCATAGATTTCGCTCCGAGGACTGTGCATACGTCTAACGTGAAACCCCTCCTGCGCGATTGTTCCGAATCTAAAACGGTTCATGTAATCCCAGCGGCTGAGACCGCTAAATGCTAATGGCGGTGGAAGAACCCGGTGGCATTCCTACCCACAGAAGGCGGGGCGTAAGGAAATAATTTTTTTCGGTGTGCTAGAAGAACTGTGTACTAACCGGTATCAACTCGATGAATGTGACAGGCGGCTTTTTTAGCTTTAATTTTGCGGGTTAACAAAAGCTTAACTTTATAACCTTCTATCAAAAATATTAATTCTTTTAATTAATCATGAAGTGATTTTACAATTTTACATATATCATGATCTATTTTTTTAAATAAAAAAATATTCAAATTTTAAATTCAAAATAAACCAATCAGAAAAATATAAATGAAATATTGGGCGTCTAATCACACTTAATTATTTAAAAAGACTCTTATTATCAAGGGATTCAATATTGGGCGACTAATCTGTTAGTTGGAGAAGTTATCCGACAAAAATCAAAATGTTCTTCCTCTCAAGCCTATAAGTAGATTTTTCTCTCTTTACTTTAGGGGGAGAAGAATAGATGAATTACGCATGTTTTGGATTGATGACTCGACGATAACTTTCGATCTCCATAATTGAAGACTACCGTCGATCCCAACTCGTCGTCAACCATCTTCGGGCGCCCATTAACGTTGTATATCAAATACAGTCATAAAGTATAAAGTCGTATTAAAAACCGTTCAATAACTTTTGGCTTTTGTAACCTCTGACCACTATAAACCTTCGATCAATATCAACAGCCCCTTTCGGCCTTCGTTAATGGCTCGTGTTTGCTAACATTGTATCACAAATACGACTATAATATATAAAGTTGTATTAAAAAACTTGCAATAACTTTCGAACTTTATAACTATCGACCCATGTCCCCACCTTATTATAGTCACCAGTGACCATTGTAGCCAAAATTCGATGATCGTTCCCAACTACTCATGTGTTTCTCTATGCGTGATAAAAAGGCATACCTTTGTGCTTGCATGTTTATAGTGGATTAATTTGAGTGGGCTACGACCCATGGCTTTTTTCCTCTCGAATTTTTTCCACAATATATTTTGGTGTCCTCTCTTACTATTTTTTTTATTATTTGCTTATATGTCGGATATTCGTGCAACCTTAACATTTTAAATAATCATTCTGTCACAATCAATTTTCAAGCACACAATAATTATTATTACTAATTTTTTTAAATGAAATATGTATTGTTACGTAAAGATTTGTGACATTCAGTATTATAAATATAAATAAGAAGATTTAGTTGTTAGATGTGTGATACATAAAAATTAGGTCCTATTCATATAAATTTTAGACTTCGAGAATTATTATATTTGAATTTTTAATTCAATTCAAAATTTTCATGTGTATAGTAACATGCAAAAAAAATATTTGTCATATTCATGTGCTCAATTAAAAAGAATTTTACATAAAATCTAGCTTAAGGGTATTAGATGAAAATTTAGAAAATAATTACAATTACTATGAACATGTTTTAATGACATATAACATATGTTCAACAATAAGAGCATCAAAGCATCTAAATCTACTGGTCAATACAATTATCTATCAAAATATAAATGAAATATAATTATATTATAAAATAAATAAATAATTCTAACCTTGAACACCTTTAATGTTTTACATGAATCATAAGTTCAAAATTACTCCATAGTATATTGCATAACTGACAACATGATAGTCATAAAATAAGAGGTGTGAATGTTGAATTCTTTTAAAACGTTGGGTCTCGTGTCGTTTGTGGGTTCAGACAATTCAAGGAAGACTTATGTAAAAAGGTTGAGAGAAGAGGATGGAGGCGTTCTCTGGGTCTGAACTCTTTATTCTCTAACATTTTTTCTTCAATATATCAGAGAATAAGATCTGATTTCTCACTAAAAGTGAGATAAAAAAGAGAGATACCATAGATCGATCATTTTTTTCTCTCCTTTCCCTAAGTACATAAGAGTGGAAAAAAAGATAAATTTATGGATCATACGGTATAAGATATGCTCATGGTGTCTTGTTGAAATGATCGCGACGCAAATGCAAGTGACTTATCAATGATAATGGAGCATAAGTAAATCCTTTTAATGTTGATACTTCGATTATTTGTCAATCCTAAACATCGTTGTCTAGGGAGAAATTCGTAGACTGCTCTGACAAGTGTGTTAGCTCTTGAAAAATGGATAGTCAGAATTTCAATCTGGCGGGTTAATCTGTTAGGTGAGTTTAGCGGATTTGTAGTACCATGAAATGGACCTAATGACAGGCCCCAAATCTTGGCGTTCTTTTCCTTAGTTGGGAATATGTTAGGTGTGTTTAGTGGATCTGTAGTACTATGAAATGGACCTAATGACAGAGCCCAAATCTTGGGGTTCTTTTCCTTAGTTGGGAATCGATCCCAAAAAGTCCTTTTATTCCATTATAGGCTCATGGTGGCCAATTATCCCTATAGAATGAGTTTGTAAGAAACAAACTCAATAGGTGAAACACAACTAAGTAAAATATAAATGACAAAGTATGGGACATCAATATTAGTAACAAAAGAGATGGGAGTAAAAATAGAGGTTATACAATAATAACTACATAAAATGTATAAAAGGTATATATATATATATATATATATATAATTAATCTAGTAGTCATTGCATGTGATGTCATGTTTACAGACAAAATTATAGGCTAATTTTTTCAGCTTGTAATTTATCAGCTGAAAAAATGACCAAAACAATACATTTAAGTTAATATCTAATTTACAGGCTGAATAATCAACCGGCAAACATTTTTTTCCTGAAATATAAAGCGATTTTTTCTACACTTAAAACTGACTGATTTACAGATGGATTTTAACAGTAAACTTCACTTCAATTAATAATCTTCACAGTCACAACAAGCATTTAGAGAGCTAGGATATGATTACATAAGCACCTAATTATATCATACAAAGCCCAATCAATTCAAATTCTTTTATATAATAAATCATATATAAATGAATCAATATAGCAAAAAAAAAAATCACTCTTTAATAGTTAACAAAACGAGTGTCTAATGCTTTTATAAGACAGAGAAATTATACTATTGAACACTAAACTAGCCATTGAAAGTCTTAAATGTAAATAACAAATATCTAAGAAATAACCATAGAGTCCACACAAAATTAAGTGATTATATGACAAGCTTAGGAGTTAACACACGCTCACCATGCAATCATATTACAAGTAATAAAAACAACTCTTAATTATTCATAATTAAATTTAAAAAATTCTTACGTTTTTCTAATTGAATTTCTCGTGAGAATAAAAGAATATACTACTACAAACAGATAAAATAATAACATCCCTACATAATTATATATTGAATCAAACAACATTAAGAATAATGTAACGCATTTTCATAGTAATTAAAAACTTCAATTAACCATTAAAATCATGACAATTACCTTAAAATATGTTTACCATGACAACCCTATTTAAAGAACATTGACATGACATCAAATGTTAAATTGATTACAAAGTGAGAATTTACATAATGTGACCTAGCTTCATGTTTAATAAAAGTATTAATTCTTGCTTTATGCTCATAACGTATTATTACCGCGATGTTTCAAATGTGGAATTGATGTGCAATGAACTCTACACTTTATTTTGTCGCTCCTATCAATCATAGAGTGTTTATGGATTTTTATATTTGAATAACTAGAGGTACGTTTAAACATTTTTGCTTATTTTAAAACAAAACATACGTTTTAGATCCAAGGCATGTGTATAAGGTTTAGTGTCTATCATTTAGTTGTGGATATTCAAATTTTAATAACATTTCCTTAAACATGTGTAAATTTTATAACCCATATACTTTGAATCAGATTAGCTAACCCATCCCAATTTTTTTATTTTTCATGTTACCTCAAGTGCATTTTTAAAAATTGAATCATGCTCAGTGCATCAAGCATGGGGGCAATGAGCAAAGAATGGGGGCAATGAGCGAAGAATGGGAGGAGGGAGAGAAAAAATTGAAAGAAGGTATTCTCCTTCTATTTATTCTTCTCACATTATTATTTTCTTATTGTGTTAAGAATGTAAACACTAAACAATAAAAGCCTTGATAAATTTATTTATAAATACATTTCTTACAATGAACTACGATTTCAATTTCGATCAATTGAGAATTGAAGCGTAATGAAAATGCAATTAACACAGATCAAATTTAAGAGTGAAGATATAACATGAAGGGTTTGTGGCATTTAACCTATGTTATAGTCTCTGTAACATATACACTTAATAAAATAGATACTAGGAATAACTTTTAAGTTTAGAAAAGTTTGAGATTGGTAGGATCACTCATATAAATTTAGACATATGAATAATGGCAATTTGTATGTAGAAATCCATCATGAGTTCGCAAGAGTGCATAATACTCACAAATATGTGTAGTCTATATTTATGCTTATTTTGATTTTTTTTAGAACATAAATTATTTTATAAACATGGTATTAATGATATTTTATGGCTGAACATTGACTAAAAAGTTATTATAAGATTATAAATTATAGTAAATCCTTAGAAATTATCAATTATTCAATATGCTTTTGATTATTTAGCCTTTGTCTTTATATATGTTGAGTGTATGATTAATTTGAGTTTTCTTAACTCAAAATATATGGAATAATATACTTTATGGTAGGATTTGATTATAAGTATATCTAATGTGTTGAACTATTTTTAATCTACATTAAGTATGCCACCTTGAATTAAATAAGGGATAAATGCACCTTTTAGTATAAGGGATAAATGCATCTTCCACGTCAATTATATGAATCATATGAGCACAAAATCACTCAATTTTAAGGTCAAAGTACTATACAAGATAATTCCATGATAAAAAAATTAATGAATCATTCAATTGAATATTTCAAGATTTTAGATATATAAATTTACCAAACTGTCACTATAAATAAATTATTATTCTGTGCGACAAGTGAAAATAGGACTCAACTTTAGCAAGTGCTTATAGGTCTAAGAACTATGGAGCTCTGTTTGATCACCAACATTGACATTACCAACAAGCACAATCATTTGATAAATGTCGCTCAACTCTTGTTATCCCACCACCATAATCTGTGTCGTTGTATGTCCACTATCGATCATCTAATTGTCGTCAATGCCCTACAATCACTATCTGTCCACTGTCGTGTAATCATCATTCATGTATGACTATCAACATCCAATGATAACCACCTAACTGCCATTTTCATTTTATGATCACTCACTTGTCATCTCACTTTCATTATTTGATTAGCATTATCCAACTATTATTGTCATATCATGGTCATTCGACCACCTATCACAACTCAATTGACATATGCACTCTATTATTTCCTTCATAATCACACGAGACCGAGCTAGTGTAGAGCACATTATTTTATGACCTCACCTCCATTTTAAGAGAATATCATACTTTTGTAATTTAAGTCAACATAGTTGATTATTTCCCGCAAACAAAATATCATATTTTGTAATTTAAGTCAACATAGTTGATTATTTCCCGCAAACAATGTACTATGATTTTTACTCTTTTGGCTTTTTTACTTTAAAAAAATTAGATTATTTTGTACTATCTTATCATACATGAGATATTTGTACTAAATTAAACTATAAAACCCTCATTTTATTGCTATTAATTTTGTTTCATGCAAATGATTATAATTATAACATTCAAGAAAATATGATAGCTAGATGGTTACAATTAATATTTCTTTTTGCAGGAAGATTATAAAAAGTTTTTATTAATATTCTATACGTAGATGTAGATATTTTAGAATTCATCATACAATTTTCAAGCCATTAAAGTTTATATCTCGTTGACAATGGTGTTGAAATAATAATTGTTATACAAAATGCATTTACATCCCACTTTTTTGTAAATTTGCCAATAAAAAGTATTCGAGTCTAGTCGTTATCTGCGCATTAGAGTTCCGCCGGAACACAGTATTCGAACTCGCGTGTGAACTTGTTCGAGGGGACTGAAACCTTCGCCGGCCAAATAATCCTGAGGGTGTGCCGGATTGTTCAGCTCCTCCGCCGAGGGACGGGAGACGGTGATGGGAATCTTCCAAACACCAGTGACCCCGCTCTTTGCGGGGACCGCTCCCTCGAACTTCATCCAGCCGTCCGATGCGCATCTTCCCTCCCATTGACAACGACAAGGTCGTCGGATCTCATATGTTGGCCCCGCCATCGACCCATGCTTCTTCAACGCGGAGTCAGCTCGGCGTGTCGTTGGCGCCCGCGAGGTGCCCACGTTGAAGACGATATCTGGACGACTTTGGCTCTTTGCGGGCCATTCTAACCGTTGGATTGAGGAATCAGGTAAACGTCTACGGCGTGGGCGAGGGCCAATTTGTCACGACTCACGTGCGGCTGACAACGCGCACGAGCCGTGGCAGTGACGAAAGCACATGGGATTGCACGGACGACAACGAGATGTATATAGGATCTTTAGATAGGTTTCGCATAATTCTATCTGCAATTTTATTTTTCAGAATACTCAACATTTAAATTATTGTTATGTCATCAATAATTTATTTATCAAACATGAGAGTCCATCTAGTTTTTATGAAAAATTTTTAAAATTTAAACTAGAGAACATTGGGAGCCCAATTTTAATAAATTTAAAATTAAATTGATCTTCTAGACAATACAAATATAATGATATTAAAATTGGTTCACTCTGAGTCTAATCAAACTCATATCAAGTCAATAAAACACTTTTAACAGTTTTAGATTGTTAATTTAATCATTAAATGTGCTTCAAATTTGATATATTTATGGTTAAATAGTGTGTCTCAACAAGAGGAATCGAACGAGCTCAAGCTCGCTTAATTCTTAGGTCATTAAAGCTCTCAAATCATTAAAGAAACTTTTATGATTAAGTGGATTAATGTAGGTTGTCTGATCAAGTGATAGGAGAAGTTATTCATCAAAAGAGAAAAATGTCCTAATTCCATAGGGCAACTAATTAAAATGTCATATGGTCTATGTGATCGACTAGTGTTACAACTTATAATTACAATATTTGTGAGCGATTGATGTTATTGCAGCCCCAACATATATAACCAACTATTACTATTATGAATTTCCAACTACCTCTTTTGGCAAACTATTATTATTGTAGCCAAGAACTATATATGTCATAGCTTAATTATTATCATTATTGCTGAACTACTATTGCATATATGTGATTATCAGTAGTGTGATTCCATATCCTCTAATTCTGGGAGGAGAGCGGACATATATAATTACAATCAGATAGTTAATTACTTTAATTGGTTTTTTCCCTCTCCAATGTTCTTCAAGTTAAAAATGTTGGTGTCACCTGTTGATTTTTTTTTTGTACGCTAAATTTTCGTGTAATACCAGAATACTAAAAAGACTACTCAGTCGCTCTGAATCTTTCGACTCACAACAATTATTATTATTATTACTTTTTTTAAATAAAAAATACAATATTAGAAATGTAAATATTCAATTATAGATATTAGATATATAAATTATAAATGCACGAAACTCGTGTCATATATATATGTAAAGTTTTAATATATTTACATATGTATTTAATTTCTTAATTTTAATGATGTAAAGTTTTAATATATTTACATATTTACATATGTATTTAATTTCTTAATTTTAATGTTCGATTGTATAAAATTTAAATTTTTAATATCACATCCAAAACATTATTATTAATTACTTTTAAAAATTTAATATCACAATTTTATTTATATATTTAGATTAAATTATAAATGACTTCATTGTCATGGAGTAATCATGTTGTGAGATATGTACTTTCTGATATAGAAATGCAACACAAAGAACACAAGCAAATACAAATCGTTTATGTGGTTCGATCCAACTGGATCTACGTCCACGGGAGGGAATCAATCAAATAGTTCACTAAGGCAAAAAAAACGGAGAATACATAGCTTATGCATAGAGATGAGCCCTCATCTTCCTTCTATGACCTCCCTCTCAAGTGACACCTTGATGCAATGCCTCAAGATGCTCTCCTCCTCTCTAGCTCTCTAGTTATTCTCTCATCTGTTGTGGTAGCTTAAGATCTCTTCCTTTTACTCCCCTAAGCCTCACACCCTCTCTATTTATAAAAGCTAGAGACTGGTAGGTGGAAGATAGGTGAGAGATAGGTGAGATGTGGTAGGTGAGCGGTACCACATTATAAAAGTGTCATTTTACCTTAGTTTATTAATTGAGGATCAAAATAACAAACCATTACAATAACAATGACATCCAAAATAATATTACATAATTTACTAATTTGAGCGATACATTTGCAGTCTATATGTTTGTTTAACTATTAGCAAAAAAAAAATTACACTTAATATAGAATTAAACAAAAGCTAGAAGAACATAAGAAGACAAATTTGGACATGGATGCAAACACGCTTAATTGCACAAACATCACATCATTACATGATTGCCAACAGTTTAAACAAATGTGGCTTTTCCAACTTAGTATGCCCAATCACAAGAATAAATGTTCAGTGAAAAACTTGTAATATCCATTAATGCATCCATCGATCAATCAAAATATTTGTAACAAGATCATATGCTTAAATGCAAGGTCCACCAATAACCAAGAATGTCAATCAAACACCACAATTTCTTAGTACAATATTGGATGAGCAATTCAGTGTATAATATAAAAAAATACCTTTGCCAAAAATAGCACAAATAAATAAATAAAGTCCTTTCATTTGAAATAGTTTTTTTCTATTTAAATCAGCATGGATAAAAGTCATTGCTAGCTCATGCATGTTGAAAATTTCGTTGCGGTAGAATGATTATTTAACATTTTAGTAATAGCCAGTAATGATTTTAAAGTGAAAGATAGCGTTTTAGTAAAAGTCATTGTTAGCTCATGCATGTTGAAAATAATCGTGTCATGTATATGTAAAGTTTTAATAAAATTTAAAGTGAAAGATAGAGACAGTAAAAGTTTTTTACGTGAAAAACCCTGAAAAGGAAAAAAATCACAGGACCAAACTTAGTTGAATAATCCACTATGTAATAGCCAGTAAACATATCTACTATTCTTCTGAGTTAGGGAAGATGAAATTACAAAGTTAATGTATAATAGGGATAACATGAGTCTCGTAGATGTTTTTCTTCCTCAGCTAAATCCCTTAAATTTACATAATCATCATATTTAAATCCAGTTATAAGTCAAAAATGTGCTAGAACAGAGAGAAAATTGGATTTAATGGAGCGAACGATTTACGTTAAGTTTTTTTCGTGTTTGACTGGATTAAAGTAAATTCAACCATAAATCCTATTAAGAGTTTGCTACCAAACACTCCTTTAAAATGTATACATGAAAATTTAAATATTTATTTTAAAAAATAATAATTTTATCATTTTTGAACTTGTATTATATGCATGTAAATATGAAAATTTAGATGCCAGATGACAAATATATAAGAATTGTAAAATGGTCCTTTAATGTATTACTTCTATCTAATTGAGTAATTGGATTTTTGATGAATTATCTCCACCAGCATTTTCCAATTACAATAATAAATTAGAAAAATTAGCTAAAGTCGTCAAGTTTTGCACAGGGCGAGACGACGAAAAGAGTAAGTGGGGATGGGAGTGCAGAAGGAGATTCTGAAGCCCGGCAATGGAGCCAAGCCTATTCGCGGTCAAAACGTTACCGTGCACTGTACTGGCTTTGGTTAGTTTGTCAGGCCTTCTGTGATTTTGTCTACCTAGTTTCTTTCTCCTCTCTTTCCTTTCTTTTGATTTGGGTCGCCGCATCAAATCGGTCAACCTTAGGTTTTATATTTTTGTTTGTTTATCTATTTCGCAAGATCCATAACCATTTATCGATGTTTTGAACAAGAATTAGATTATATCTTGTTGATCATTCGTCAGTGTGATTTTATAGACATGGTCTTCATAAGTTTTCTTTAATGCCTGCTAGGGGCGATAACTTATTGTGGTGATTTTTGTTATGTTATTATATTTTCTTGAATCAGTTGTCTTATGTTTTCAGACGTTAAGGCGACGAGAGTGAGGAAACCATGTTTAGAATGAGCGGTGAGCAGCAAGGAGGACTGTTAAATGAGCTGCGAGTATGGGAGAATGATGTAATAGATGGATTTGTAGGGATTTTTTTTTTGTCTCAACAGAGACTTGGATCTTCTGATACATATTCTTAATTAGTTTTGAATGTAAAAAAAATAATAGATTATTATGATTCAAATGTTGAAATGATCCAAAATGTTTTGTTGATGTTATTATATGGCGAGGTTACCATGCAATCCTTTTTTTTAAAAAAAAGATGATATTAATGCTTCTGCTTGCAAACACCCCGCATCTTTTGCCCAGTGTAGGAGGGGTGCTGGGTTGTTGAATATTTACATATTGGCAGTAATTTAAAAAAGAAAATTATCCAAGGCCACTTAGTGAAAATGGGAAGAAATGTCAGTATTTTGGCACAACTTAGTAGCTTTTTTTATCTTTGCTAGAATTGGTTGCTTTACTTTCTTACTTTCTTCTCTCTCTCTCTCTGTCTATCTTTGTTTCCTTTAGGTTTCATTTAGAATTTGAAGAGAAAAGAAGAGATTTATAAAAAGTGAATACTTTCTTTTAATTGGGAGTTTTAGATGAGAAGAAAATAAAATTATTGAGGGAAAACATTTTTCAGATAATGAACTTTTTTCCTCTTAAAAGATCATAAAGCGGAGAGGAAGGAATTATAGTTTTTATAACACCCGAAGTACCCTAAAGGGGTGATTGGTAGCACACTTTTAACAGGACTTAGCTATGGATTTTACCTAAATCCAGCCAAACACCAAAAGGAGGGAAAACCAAGTCCATCTCTCCGTTAAATCTAATTCATTCCCGTTCCGTCTGTTTCTTCCCCATTCCGTCTCCTCTGCGATGTAAATCCGGATTTATCAGATCCGACTGTGAGGCGGATGCTCAAATTTACTCCGCCGTTGCTCGTGTGCTCCATCTTCGTTGTGAGCTCACATGAATTCACGGATTTGATAAATATTATTAATGTAAATTGACAGCTGCAACCAAACACCGCCTAATTCTAATAAAATTATTTTAGGGATTTACATTCATACCACCAAATTCTTCATTATTTATTAATCTGACTTCTAAATTTTAATATTTACATATACAATATCTTGATTTTCAAGTGGCATAAAAAATACCACAAATATTAATTTATTTGAAGTGAAACACACATATTTGGATATGTGTTTGATGTCATTTATACACTGCAAATATTAGGTGTAAGATGTGCATGTAAATCCCCCAATAACTTCAACTTTTTTTTTCTACGAGGGTGGGTGTTTGAATTTATTAAAACATTAAGTCTACTCTGTTTTCTTTCAATTGTGAATCAAGAATTGGATGGATAGTGTTCTTTTTTTTCATAAAACTCCCAATCAAAAAGAAAAGAAAGTTCATCACATTATTTGTTTTATTTTCTCTTCACTTAGATATTTTGCTCTTTTCCCTCCACTCTTAATCAGAGTTGTTTCAAAGATCGAGAATGATTAATGGAAACATAAACTGATCGTTTATGTTTAAATGATGCTTGTTGTTTGGTTTTCATTGGACTGATTATTTCTATGCAGTTGTCTTCTATTTTTCGGAACATCTATATAATTGTCTATCTTTCTATGAAACTGTTTGGCTACTTAAACAGTTTTGTTTTCATGGTTTATGGAAGTTATTTAACTTCCTGTTCCACTAGTGCACCTAGATTTTATTGTCCCAAGCCTTCTATGTGATCTTTTAAGTTATTTTATTCTTATTATTATTATTATTATTATTTTGGTACTTACAAATCCATTTTTCTGCTTTATGCTTTAATTAGTTAGTTACTAGTGCTTACAATTTGTATTTATTTTATTTATATGAAGGTAAGGATGGTGATCTATCAAAGAAGTTTTGGAGGCAAGTAATTAAACTTTTCTTTTTCTCTTGAATGGAGGCTACAAAGAAGCAGTCTCTTTTAGAGGGATCTTGACCATTTTTTGTTTTTCAGTACCAAAGATCCTGGACAACAACCATTCACATTTAAGATAGGCTTGGGTTCTGTTATCAAAGGTGAGCTTGAAAATCAAATTTCCTTTTCACGAAGAATATCTTAACTAAATATACACTGTACTAGATTTCCCAATAGTTGTTTGGAAGATGATAGACGCACTTGTGTGGTTTGGTCACTTAAACTCAATGCTGTTGCCTTTGTTAGCTTGATAAAAATGGTTTCTTCATGCATGAGGCTTTAAAAATTGTTGCTGTGCAGGGCTTGTTATATACAATCGTCGCCATGTTGTTGACGTGCTAATTCTGTGATTGTACTTTATGGCTTCCAGGGTGCAGTAGGGCACCCTAACTATTGCTTTAGAGCTATCCTATTCTTTGATAAATTGGATAGGATCTGAACTTTTTCATTTTGTTCTTTTGTACCTATTTATGCTGTTCATTGCGAACAGCTGATTTACATACCATCAATTAAAATATTGAGATTGATTACTTCAGTCACATGATAATTTATGATGTTAGCCGTTTGATAATATATATACTAATGATTTCAATGATAACTTTAATAAACTTTCTTTTAGTTAACATTCAATTTGATTTATTTTTTATAAAATTTTTAACCTAAACTCCTACATTGTCTTCTGTTTCATCTCGTAATAGTAGTAAAAACTTAGCATTTGACATTAAAATTAAAAACCTATTTAATTCAAGAATCTAATCATCCAAATCGTAATAAATGATCTTTTTTGTCAGTTGATTTTGCAATCAATGAATTTTTTTTATCTCAAAAGTACATTACCCCTTATTTGTTATATATTTGTGGTTTTATACCTTCCTGACTGATATTGGCTGTTTATTTGTAAATACTTCATGTATTAAGGAAAGCATTAGCTTGACTTTTGAGATTTCTATGTGGAGGCAGGGTAATAATAAGGTCGGCAAGGTATGAGTGATGTAGATTTTATCAAGTCAGATCTATTAAGATGATGATAATAAATCTTTTTTAAAGATGTAAACATGATTGAAATATGAACACACTACTTTTAGAAATCAATACATGAGAATTATAAAGAAGATAATTTTGAAGAACATAATATATTGAATAATGAATTATAATGTAGATTTATTAAAAAAAAATATTTGTTATACTTTTTAAGACGCTGCACTAAGCTGAAACCTTGGCTTTACATGATATGCCTATTAAGATGCGGTGTTATGGCTGATATTCAATTAGTTTGTTTGGCATATTTCTTTTTATAGAATTTTGAATTCTTAGAATATGCTGAGTCATTGAGGAAGTATTTTGACACTTGTATACGAGAACAAAGAAGTTTCTCATAATCATGATAATTATAATGAAATCAAACATGCATCATTTAATGAAGTAATATTTTAGAGCAATATTATATAAACTTTGAAAATTGTATCGGTAAAAAAAAATCATTTTGGCTTAAATCATGAAGGTTGACTAAAATGATTTTTTTGCTTCTTAAGGAAATTTAGAAAAGTATGAGCGAATAAATCGAAGAGAAATTTGAGTTATAAAGTCTATGTATCACTAACACTTAAAAGTGCATGATACCAACGTTGGACATTGACACGACTTCGACATTTGTCCGACACTATAAAATTTGTTTGAAATTTTTTCGGACTTGGACACGTTCGCTACACACTTCAACTTATCATCGAACATGAACTCGACAATTTGGAGATAAACAGGATACGAGAAGTAGAAAATTATAAATCTACGTGCATTCCTAATTATACTTCTTAGTTAAAGTGGTCTCCTCTTTCATCATATCAAAACATTCTCTAACATTCACCAAAATCGAGCAATCGTTGGACAATACGATATGTTGGACACTAACACGACTTCGACTCTTGTCTGACACTTCAAAATTTTTCTGAATTTTTTCCGACCTAGACACGTTCGGTACACACCTCAACATATCATCAAACATGGGCTCTACACAATTTGTAGATAAATGAGATACAAAATTAGAAAATTATAACTCTACTTTTATCTCTAATTATAACTCTTAGTTAAAGTAGCATTCTCTCTCATCATGTTGAAACATCCTCTAGCATTTGTTAAAATAAAGCATAGAAGGTGCAATCAATATTTATCGAAGCCAAGTGCCAGCAGTTCTTTCTTTGTTTGTCAAAGCCGAGCGTCAGCGACTCATCCAACATTGATCTTGCATTAGTCGAAGCCAAATCTTGGAGTTCTCATTGGTTCAATGAAGTTGAACTTGCACCCGCTAAGTGGAAGCCATAAGTTTCTTTATCGCAAGCTGAGCAAGAGTCAAATTTATTCGTTGAAGCTAATTCAAGTACCCCGTGTCAAAGTTGAAGCCTAACTTTGCAGTGTTTGCGCTGAAGCTTGTATTCGTCGAAACAAAGTTGAGTTAAAGCCGCTCTAGTTCTGTAAGTGATAATTGATATATAGTTTTATTTTTCAACGAGTTAATAGTTATAAATTTATACTTATTCTAATTTTAAAGGTTAAAGTTTAACTTAATTAATTGATCAAGATTTAATTGGAGGATATTTTAATTTTCAGTAGATAAGTTGGAAGAATTCTTTTGAAATATATTATATGTTTAATTTTAAAAACTGATAATTGTAAGCATAATGTCTATTTCAGTAGATAAGTTGGAAAAAGAAGAAATATATTATATGTCTAATTTTAAAAACTGATAATTGTAAGCATAATGTCTCATAATATAAGTTAAATTTTATTTTTGTATTCTTTGTTTTATGATATTTTTAATAAAGAATAATGAAAAATATATATTTTTTATATTAATAATTTATTAAACATAAAAAATTTTTCATGAGATGTGTTTTTTTTTTTTAAATTATTTAGGGTTTTGTGTTGTGTTCCTATGTATGTGTTCCTTTATTCGTGTCTGTGCTTCATATATAATAATTAGTTTGTATTTGTAATTAACTCAGTGATTATGATCCCCAATTGTGCTAAATGTGAACAGATTTGGGAATTCTTGTAGCAGACTGATAGTAAATTATGTAGAAAAAATTGGGTAAGTAAGTTCAAATAGATGATTGCCCTATTATTAGGTAGTTATTTGTACCGTACTTGAAAGAATTATACACTATTAGAGCACACAATATTGAAAACTGAAAGAAAAAAAATATTTAATTGAATTATTTAATTGCATGCTCTTCATCTCTAGTATAGTTGCTTTTGCTGATGCATGATTAGCACAATATATTTTTATACAACCATCAAGTTTTCATTTAGATTTTGTCCAAAAATAAGGAATGTAAAGCAATGATATAAAATAATCTCCCATTAATTGCAGCTCATGCAACAATAACAATAACAACAACAACAACATGCCTTTATCTCACGAAGTGGGGTTGGCGACATGAATTATTTTTTTTTTCATTGTATCCTTTTGAGTGTCATTTTTAGGGGTGCAATCGAGTCAACTTGAGCTCGAGTCAAAGTGAACCCGAGCTCGACTTGACTGCCAAAATAGTAGGTCAAACTTGAGGTCAAGCTCGAGCGAGCCTATTGAATGATCTCAAGCTCGAATCGTCTTGGTGGAAGATCGCTAAAAAGGCATAAGAGGAAATGAGAGAGCTTGCGGAAGAGCTAGAGCTTGCAGGAGAAGGTTTGTCGGAGAACCGTAGAGATGATTTTCACCTATAAAAGGAAGCCTTATGACCTTTTTGATAATTGTGAGCCGTTTAGAAAAGGAATAACTTTATTAGTCGCATTTAAGTATTTACAACATGCATCATATACATACATACATATACATACATACATACATATACATACATACATACATATACATACATACATACATATACATACATACATACATATACATACATACATACATATACATACATACATACATATACATACATACATACATATACATACATACATACATACATACATAGACATACATACAGATAGATACATACATACAGATAGATACATACATACATACATATACATACATACATACATATACATACATACATATATATACATACATACATACATATACATACATACATACATATACATACATACATACATATACATACATACATACATATACATACATACATACATATACATACATACATACATATACATACATACATACATATACATACATACATACATATACATACATACATACATATACATACATATATATATATATACATACATATATATATACATATATATATATATATTAACATAAATATTAAAGATACTTATTTTATTTGAGTCGGCTCGCGAGGTGGCGATCTGAGTCATTCTAAGCTTGACAGTGAGCTCGTTTAATTTATGAACTTGAGTTATTCTAAGCTTGAGTCACAAGCTCGCTAGAGAGTCAAGTTCTCGAGCCGGCTTGTGAGCCGATTCGACTCATTTACAACCTTAGTCATATTTTCATTTACAACAACAACAACAAGCCCTTATCCCATTAAGTGTGGTCGGTTACATGAATTTTTTTTCTCCATTGCGTCCTATTGAGGATTATGTTTTTATTTAATTCTTATAAATTAAAATTCTAGATAATATGCCAAGTCTTTCTAGGTCTACCTCTACCTTTCTTAACATCAGTCGAATCTAAAACATCAACTCTCCCAACCGAATCTCCTTGCCAAAAGATGCATTTAATGTGATCAAATTATCTAAAATGACTCTCTCCAATATTATCCCCTACTGGAGCTACACCAACTCTATAACAGATATATTCATTTCGCATTTTGTCTCAAGTGTCAAGCCACTCATCCACCTAAGCATTCTCATCTCGACAACACTTAAATTTGTTTTATGCTTCTGTTTTAAAAGCCAACATTCTGCGCTATAAAGCATTGCAGGTTTCCCCACCATCTTATCATTTTTTTCTTTCGGTCTAAGCAGAACTTTTCTATCACACAATAGGCCCGATACATTCCTCTACTTTAACCAACTAACTTGAATTCTATTAATAACATCCCCATCTATAACCATTACTTTGAACAATAGACCCGAGATATCTAAAACGTTCACACCTTTTAATGATTTGATCACCCATAGTTACAATTTTGCCACTAGAGCTACCGCTGCTAAAATTACATTCCATGTATTCAGTTTTAGTTCTACTCAAACGAAGGTCTTCAGTCTCCATTGTAGACCTCCATAATTCAAGTTTCTCCAGAGCTCTTTCTCTAGTCTTATCCACAAGAAAGATATCACCAGGGCAAAGCACACACCAAGGTACATCCTCCTATAAATGTCCATTAAGAGCATTCATAACTAAAGCAAAAAGATATGGGCTTAAAGTCGATCCCTGATGTAATCCAACTGAAATAGGAAAATATTGGGTCAATCCTCTTGTTCGAACATAAGTAATAGTTCTAATATACATACCTTTAATGACTTGAATATAGATCATATCAACATCTTTCTTCTCTATAACTCTCCAAAGGATTTCTCTTAGAACCTTATCATAAGCTTTTTCTAAATCAATAATAATCATATGTAGATCCTTTTTATTCTCTCTGTACTTCTCCATTAAACCTCTTAATAAATGTATAGCATCCATAGTAGACCCGCCCGACATTTTTTCATTTAATTCTAATAAATTAAGATAATTTTTTATACAGTATGTTCAAGTTTTTTAGGCCACCTATACCTTTCTTGAGATAAGTCATATCTAAAACATATCTCCTAACTGGGTCATCAGATGGGTTAACGTTTAATATGACAAACCATTTTCTAATTTTGTCTGCCATTAGAGCAACTCTAACAACTTTGACAGATATATTAGTTTCACATTTTATTTAAGTGTAAAGCCACTCATCCACCGGAGCATTCTCATCTTAGTAACACTGTCTCAGATATATAATTGCTTCTCAACATTCTACATAAATCATTGCAGGTCTAATCACCTTTTTTTAAATTTTTCTTTAAGTTTAAGCAATGTTTTTCTATTACACAATAGGCCAATTGCATTCCTCCACTTCAACCATCGAACTTGAGTTCTATTAAAAACATCCACATCTGTATCGTCTTCGCTTTGAACAATAGAATTGAGATATCTAAAATGTTCACTCCTTTTAATGACCTGATCACCAATTATTACCGCCATTATATCTACTAAAATTATATTCCATGTATTCGAATGTTGATCTACTCAAACTAAAGTCTTTAAACTCTAAAGTGACCTCCATGATTCAAGTTTTTCTTGAATTCTCTCTAGTCTTATCCACAATAAGCATATCATCAGCGAAAAACACACAACGAAGTACATCCCCCTATAGATGTTCGGTAAGAAAATCTATAATTAAACCCAAAAGATATAGGCTTAAACTTGATCCCTAATCTAATTTAACTAAAATAGAAAATACTTGGTCAATCCTCCTTATGTTTGAACAAATGTAACAACTCTTATGTACATATCTTTAATGACTTTAATATAAGCAGTATTAACATCTTTTTTTTCTAGAACTCTCCAAAATACTTCTCTTGGAACTTTATCATAAGCTTTTTCTAAGTTAAAAAAATAATATGTAGATCCTTATTACTCTCCTTGTACTTTTTCATCAAACCTCTCGGTAAATGTACAACTTTCATGGTAAACTTGTCTGTCATGAATGCAAACTGCTTTTGAGAATTTTTTTGCATCACATCATTACCTTTGTTCAATTATTCTTTACCATAACTTTAATATATGCCACATTAATTTAATTCTTATGTAATTTGCACACTCTTGTGCATTCCCTTTATTCTTAAAAATTTGAACCAACAAAATCTTTCTCAACTCATCATTTATCTTTTTAGTTTTTTAAATAATATTAAAATATTTAGTAAACCAAGAAATTCCCAGATGTCTCAATCATTTTCATTATTCTATTGAAATACCATCATATCCCACTACTTTTTCACATTGAATTTTCTTTAAAGCTTTCTTAACTTTTGTTTTACTAATGTGATGATTGAAAGAAAAAATTTTGTTATTATTTACGATATTGAGATCACTAAAGTCGATCATATCTTTACAATCTTTATTGAAATGTTTATTCAAATATCTCATCCACTTACGTTGCATATCCTCATATAAGAAAATTTTATTTCGATTTTCATTATTAATAATCTTTATTTGAACCATTTTTTTTTCTTTTTATTTGGTTAATTTATACATATATTTTTCATCATTTTTAGTATCCAATTTATTATAAAGATCACTAAAATAGAATTTTCAGCATCACATATTGTTCTTTCAGACTCCTTACGGGATACCTTATGTTTTTCCTAATTTTCCAAGCTCTTAAATCCAAATCAATTTTATAATAATTTTTTTTTATTTTTTATCTTTTCTTGCTAATGTCACAACAACAACAACAATAAGCCTTTATCCCACTTAGTGAGATCGGCTACAATAATCTTTTTTTATGGATTGTGTCCTTTTAAGTGTCATATTTTCATTTAAATCTAATAAATTAAGATCAATTTTTATACAACATGCCCAAGTTTTTTTAGGTTTGCCCTTATCTTATTTAGCTATATTTGAATCTAAAACGTCTAATCTCCTAACTGGATCATCAGATGGTCGACGGTTAATGTGACCAAACCATCTAAGACAACGTTGTCTAATCTTGTCTGTCACTAGAGCTACACCAACCCTACTGTCTAATCTTGTCTGTCACTGGAGCTACACCAACCCTTTCACAGACATATTCGTTTCTCATTTTGTCTCTAAGTGTAAAGCCACCCATCCACCTAAGCATTCTCACCTTAGAAACACTTAACTTAGTTTTATGCTTCTCTTTCCGTGCCATAAAGCATTGCAGGTCTTACCACCATCTTATAAAAATTTTCCCAAGTCTAAGAAACACTTTTCTATTACACAATAGGCCTCCAAAGGATAAAATAATGAAATAGAAAATCCTAAAGACATCAATTACTAACAATAATTAACGCCTTTTTAACAATAATCATAGGAATACAGTTCAACTAAAAGTTCATAAAGGCGATACAATCTCCAAAATCTACCTGATTTGAAAAAAACGACTCCAACGAATAGAGCCTTTGATATCACAATGCAAGCAGCACTTAAAAATGAACTTGAGGGTTGAAATATTCAGGAACAAAATCAATCTTATAGATTAGCCTAGCATTGGGAAATTGTAAATACATGATTTTTTAAGGCCATCATCAAAAGATATGCCTCAAACTATTGAAAGTATAAAATGAAATTATATAAATCAATTAATGAAATTTCATCAAGTTTAGATCATTATTTGATGCGATGCTTTGACGAGGATAATCATGACATTTCTATTACTTTAGCATGTAGAAAGACTATATTTTGTTTGGATTTGAGTTCGATTTCAGTATGATATTTTGCTGAATTTATTTAGTCAAACTCTTTGATCAAGTAAAACACTAGAAGATTTTTAAGTGAGTTTCTCTTTTTGTAAAAACACTTGGTTAGATTCTTTTGATTATGGTTCCTTTTTTTTTCACTTTATTTTGTTCTTTCTAAATCTTATTCTTGGATTTAATTCATTATTAGTTTCTCAATTTTGATATAATTTTAGTTTCAACGAGTGTGTGTCTTTAATTAATAATACGTTTTTCATGATTCTAAATTTCCAAGCGTTATTTCTAGTAAGTCAACTAATGAATTTAACATTGATTCTTGTTATTTTTTTGTTTTTATTGAAGGCAATGAATCATTATTAAATTTAGTAGGTTGTGGAATATTCAAATGTGTATTTTGCTTGATTTTTCTTGGATATTATATTAGATTTGAATTAAAAAACTTAAAATCTAGGATGCAGTTATTGAGCAGTATCGGGATGATGATGTTGCCTTGCATGGTCTCTTAAGAAGTGATGTAGGAGCATGACCGGCCTTCCTTGAGTTGACTCGTTGGAGAGCCATATAAACTCAAACCATTTTATGTTTCATTTGTGCTTTTTGTTTCATTCTCGTATTTGGACAAGGTAAATGGTCTGTTTTAATTTATGCTTAGTTTTTAATTTTTATTTTGTCTAACTCTATCCTGGATGGAGTTCTGTCTGTATTAGGTCATGCTATTTTTTAGGAATGACATAGGTCACATGGCTAATCCATGACTCGACATCTCTTTCTCTCTCTCTCTCTCCTACTCTTGTTCTCTTTCCACTTTCCACTTGCCTGCTCTTAAATTCTCTTCTTCAGATCAAAGACCAAGAAGAGCAAGTCATCTGATTTGATGCTTAAAAGAATTCATCGCCTCTTAAGTGGCCGCAATAATCTAATAAAATCTATATTTTTTTAATAACTTTTTATTACCAGAAACTATATCTCTGCAGTTTGAACGGCTTTTCAATGGAATAGAAGTTTTTTGTATGTGCTTATATTTTTGGTGACTCGGAGGAAATCATAATGTTGAAATGTCTCGTTTACCATCCTTTAAATGATCAAATAGAACTCCTTCAAAGTGTCAGCTGGGCTTGAATTTGAAATTGCTATCCTGTAATCCTTTATTTGACCAGCCTTCTTAAAACTGTTATAGAATGGGGCATATCATGTACCCTCTAAACCAATTATTAATTTGAATATGCTTTACTAATCTGTTCGTTAACCTGATACTTTGTGCTCACCTCTAGGTTGGGATGAAGGTGTTTTGGGCATGGATGTTGGGGAAATTGCTCGTCTCCAGGTAATAATATATCCTTAACTGCTTGTAATTTCTTGCAAGGAAGCTTTTTTTTCTGATGTTTAACTCAAGGGTTTCCATTCAAAACCTTGGATTGTGTTTTCGATGTTTTAATTGTCTTAAATGCAAATAGTTGTAACCAAGAAGCTATTTTCCACCCAACGGCTATATTCACTGTTCTCTCTCTCTCTCTCTCTCTCTCTCTCTCTCTCTCTCTCTATGTTATCTAGCCTTTATCATTATTCACTGGTACTTCTTATTACTGAAACTAGAAGGTCCTGATTCTCTCAAATATCAATCTTTACCCTTTAGTGCATTATAGGTGTGATTATTTATTATTATTTTTTTTTAATGCTGTTTGGGAGATATTAGATTCAAACGCTTGTCGCAGTAATGCAGTTCCAGCTGAGAAGTTCTTGATTCTTAATATTTGCTCCTCAATTCGCAGTGCTCTCCAGATTATGCGTACGGAGCTAATGGATTTCCAGCCTGGGGAATTCAACCTAACTCTGTTTTGGTGTTCGAGATTGAAGTTCTCGGTGCTCAGTGGTAGTGATAACAATTCTGTTATTTCCACTGGCAGCGTTATGATTGCCTTTTGTATTCTGCACCCTTGGGTAACTGCTAATTTAAGCTGGATCTAACGGTAATCATCAACTTATGGTGTATGTCCGGAGGTTTTAATTTCCTTTTCACGAATATTTTCAGATCTTACGACTAAAATTTTTCAGATGGATTGAATATTTTAATC